TCTCCCTGAGCCTCAGACTGGGACAGGACGGAGCCCCTTTATAAATGGCCCCAGGCCCCAGGTGGTGCGTCTGGGGTCTGGAAGCAGCCCTGCTGGACCCTCCGGGTCAAGATAAACCTGTCCCCACACATGCCCTTCCTGGGAGAAGGGCTGCCGCAGCAGGGAGCATCTTCCACTCTCCTGGGGGCACGGGGGACAGGAAACTGCCCACCACCAAGGAGTCCCCAGGTGTGAGGTTCACGGGGATCTCTCAGGACCACCATTAACCTGTCTATTAACCTGCCGTGAGGCGAGTCGGACCCAACCCAGCCTGAGGCAGGAGGCTGGGGGCATTTCCACCTCAGTGACAAGGAGCAGGAAAGGCCCCAGGGAGCACCTCACCACCACAGGCCTGTACCTGTGCCCTAGGAGGTGTGGGGTGAGTCTGATGTGAGAAGAGTATGAACTTAAAGAGTGGCAAATATGCACACGTGCGTGCGTGCGTGTGCGTGCGTGCGTGTGTGCTGGCCATTCCCAAGCTCTGCCGCTGCACACCTCACCACGACCCTGGCAAGGAGGTTGTCCCCTCTGCTCTTTCCTTCTTGGAGAGGCTGAGCGCCTCACCCAAGGCCACAGTGTGGTGTGTGAACATCACGGGCAAAAGGCACCAGGTGAATGGGTGAGGCCTGTGCCAGTGCCTGGCCCTACCACCCCCTTCATAACAGAGCTGTGGGATAAGCAGGGAGCCTAGACCAGCCCGCTGGACCCAGCCCTGGCCCCGAGTGGCATCTCAGAGCCCCTCCAAGGAGGCCTCCACCCCTGCTGTGCACACTCACATACCTGCACGCTGACTGGGGGTCACAGGGTCAGGAGCTCCCTCCCAGGTTCGGCCTTGGGCTCCACCTTATGCCCCCACGACAGCTGCTTCTTGATCTCATACCTACTTCCCAACACCAAGAGGGGGCTCTGCTGGTCTGGATGGAATTTTTTATGGTAAAAAATGAGCCACAGTTTCACTGCCTCGAGGAGGGTGGGAGCCGTCACCGAGTGGCCAAGGCAGACTGATGAAAATCCTGCTTATGAAGTCGCGGCTCCCCCATTAATTAGGGGGAGGGGGCGCTCCGGCACCACTGCGCACCTCTCCCGCAGCCAAAAGCTTGTCAACATTTTCCACAAAGAATGAAAATGTAAATAACTTTCAGATTATTCAATGTCACCAAGGTATGGAAAAAGGTGGCCATGCTGAGCGTCATTTATCTCGTTGTGGATTTAAAGAGCTTTTTTCTATTAAATTTCTTAAAATTAATGTTTTATGTTGCTCAGAGTAATTTGAACAATTATGGGCTTAAAGAATTGATCATTACAGCCCCTGGGATTTAGTCCTCCAGGCTGTTTCTTTTGGAAAACCCTCTGATTTATCAGGGTTGCTGCTCCACAAGGCAAGCCCCCCATTTGACCCCACCCCCTCTTGTGCAGTGTGTGGGGGGGGCTGGTCCTACTGGCAGATGGTGGGGAGGGAGACAGGGAGGACCGAGGCTGTGTCCCTGGCAAGTCCCCAGGTGGCCTCTGGCTGGCAGGGCGTGTGTACGGGGTGTCCTTTGGGTCCTGAAGCCCCTGTGTAAATTTATATGTAAGGCCATAAGCCTTTTATGTGCTGGTTGAAATTACTGTATCAGGCATGGTGGTGCTTGTCTGTATTCCAGCATCTGGGGAGGCTGAGGCAGTAGGGTCCAAGTTTCAGGGTGGCCTGGGCAACTTAGTGAGGCCCTGTATCAAAATTTTAAAAAATAATAAATTTTTTAATAAAAAATAAAATGCCTGGGTATATAGCTTAGTGGAACAGCGCCCCTGGGTTCAATTTCCAGTATCAAAAGAAAAGAAGAAAAATAAATTACTGTTTGATGATGTAATACAGTCGCTAGACTCAAAAGTGAACAAGCCCTAGTAGGTGGAACCTTCCAGTCGGGACTCTGCCGCACTCCCCTGCCGGCCCGCTAGCGGGTGGGGTCCAGTGCTGACCCACGCGTCCGCTGGACAGCGGGAGAAAGCGGCGACACGCGGTCTGGGCGCAGGATCCGCCGCGCTCCGGGCTCCTGGAGCTTTGCAGCGCGCTCTGGGCGGTTCCCTCTGCCCGCGGCGTCCTCAGGCCTTCAGGTGCGCGTCTGGAGGTCCGAAGGTCGCCCGCTGGGTCCCTCCCGCCAGGGCAGCCCCTCTCGCACCGCGCCCAGGATTCCCGCCTCGCCTTCCACTGGGGTCCCCAGCCCGCCTACAGATCCGTCTCCCGGGACCCTGCATTCCAGACTGAAGTCCCCAGGACCCGGCTAACGCGCTCCTTTGCTGGCAATAAGTCGTACCCTGCAACCCCGACCCGAATGTTGGGGCGCCGCCTTCTGGGGGCGGGGATCTTGGAACGAAAGAACCTCGATTCCTCCTGGGTCCGGGACCCAGAACGTCGGGGTGCGACCTCCCGCCTTCCCTTCACCTCTCTGGCGCCTGGGGCCCGAACACGAGCACCACCCCCGCCCCCGCCGTCCAAGGTCACGCCCCGCCCGCCGGAGGTCTGCCGCCCTTACTGAGGACCTGGCCTCGCGGCGGCGGGTTGGGAACCTCGGCTGGGACCTGAGTCTGGGTCCAGGCGGGTGGGGCTGACCTGAGCCCGAGAAGGTGGGGGTTTCTGCCCCTGGCAGGTGCGGGGTGGCCCCCGGCTTCCTCAGTGGACCCGGTAATGCGGAAGCCGCCTGCGCTCAGCTCAGGTGAGGACACAGACCCGCACAGAGGCGACATTGGATTGGTCACAGGTGGGCCCCCAGGGTCCAGGCCGCCCTGCGTAGGTTTCTGGCCCCATTTTGGGCGGAGCTTTGGATGCCGCGGGGCCCTCTCCAGCCTGAAGCCGCCCCACTCCTCCGGGTTATGGATGGGCCAGCTGGAGCGAGCCGGCCTGACGGCAGACAGGAAAGGGCCCCGCGGGAACACTTAGCACTTCATTAACCTGTCAGCGCCTAAAAGGCCCCAGGGGCCTGGGGGAGGAGCTCTGGCCTGAGCCCCAGCGGCGGGGCCCGAGTATTTGCACCGCGGGGAGGCTGCAGGAACGCCAGCCCCGGGCCCTCTTCCTGAAATCCCAAATATGACCTGGTCTGGAGTAGATTGCCCCTGGGGATCTCCCTCACCCGGGAAAAAAGCGGAAGTTGTCATTTCAGAACCGGGTAGGCCTCTGCCTTCTGCACCCCTCCCAACCCTGCCCCAAACCAGGCAGGCCAGTGGGGACCTCTAGTGCTCCCCCACCCAGGCCATTTCCGGCCCGGCTTACTGTCCTGAAACACCATGCCAACATCCAATTCCTTGGGACTTCCGTGCCCATCTTGTGGTGGCCCTGGGAGCATGTGTGGCCGTCAGGACCCTTCTCCCCTCTGGCATCTTCTCCCAGGGCCAACTGTCCTCTGATAGCTGTCCTCCGATTCTGAGGCTGCCCCAAGGGGATGCTGGCCTGGGGGCTCAGTCACATCCCCCTCTGCTGTCCTGAGGAGCTGCCCCCCTCCTTCTGCTCAGCAGGTCCCCAGCTCGGGACAAGCCCCTTCACCCTCTGAGCCTCAGTCTCTTATAGGCAGGGGCCCCATGGGGTGGCACACAGCAGGTTCTGTAAGCAGGTCCAGGTCCAGAGATGAGCCAGTCTGGGAACTCTCTGGACTCAGCCCTGAAGACCCCTGAAGGCCAGTGCAGTTGGCATGGCTGGACATCAGGCTTCCTCTCTGCAACTCTCAGAGTCCTTTGCCCCAGTTCCACCACTGCCAGCCCCCAGGGCCCTGGGGGGCAGAGTATTTCCCACCGGCCCTCTCCTTCCTTCCCCCAACCAGAGCTTCCTCATTTTTAGAACGGTGGGTAGGGAGTTGGGAAAGGATCTCCCTGACGGACCTGGAAAGGTGGCTGGTTCCAGCCAGTCTCCCCACAAAGACAGCTGGCCTTGGAGAAACCTGGAGATCCCAGGGAGCAACTCAGAGTGGCTTCCCTGGGTGCAGGGGCAGGCGGCTCCTTCCCCCACCCAGGTGGGGGCTGAGAAGGGGGAGGGTCCAGAACCCTGCCCAGGTCTCCTCCTCTGTCTCAGAGGAACCCTCACTTTGGGGTGAGGGAATGCATGTGCCTAGACTTTCAACTCAGGTCTCCCCTTTAGGGAGCTCCATGGGGAGGAAGGCAGGACTCAGAGGGTGCCAATCACAGGCCTTGGGTCACACAGCGAGTTAGCAGGCCAGCTGGGATTGGAATCCAAGTTGGAGAGACCCCATGGACTGGTACCTGGATCTTGATCAGCTAACACCAGCTCCCATCCCCCACTCGCATTACACTCCCCAACCCAGCTGCACCTCCCACCCTGTCCCTCTGTGGGATGGACAGACTATTCCCTGCCTCCCTCCTGTGCTCAGGAGCTTGGCCAAGATCCAGAGCAAAAGGGAGCTCAGATCTAATCCAGGTGCCAGCCCAGGCAAGGAACAGCAGCCCCTGGGGTACACCTCTCCCACTTTCAAAGGACTGCCTCTCCCCACCAGCAACCTCCTTGACCTGCACCGCCCTCAGCCTCACTGAGGCTACAGGCCTTCCAGCAAATGTAAATGACAAGTTTATTGAAGTCTTGGAAAGAGCTGATCACCAGAGAATAAATAAAAGTCACAGGACATTCACAGGACCAACAGGTATCAGGTATCAATACTCTGGTTTTCAGGAATGACTTTGACTTACACACAGCCAACCTTTGTGTGGGGCGACTGCAGGTGCCTCCCAGAATGTCTTTTTAAACATCTGATGGAGGAGGCCTGGTGGGCTCTGAGGACCCTTGCCCCAGCCTCCTCCAGTGGGGGACAGTTTCCGTGTGTCCCCATCAGGCAAAGCCCCATCAGCGTGGAAGGGCAGCTGTTTGGCAACAGGCAGGGCCTGGACACTTGGGGTCCTAGGGAAGTGTGCAGTGGGCAGCGGGGAGGATGAACAAATCTGGGCTTAAAGACTGACTGTGGAGCAGAAGTGGCCCCAGGGATCTCTGCAACCTCCACAGTATTCAAGAACAGAAAGATCTGAGACCCTGGGGAGGGGTGAAGGGACGAGTGGAGAAGGTTGCTGGTAGCAGAGAGGCCCCCAGAGCCCTGAGGAGAGGAAGGTCCTTTCCAGGGTCTTGGTGGCCACAGAGGACACAGGCAGTGCCCCCACTCTGCACCCCCACCTCCTGCCTGAACAGGCAAGGCAGATCCCTGACCTACAGTGGGGGCTACAGGGTCAACACTCAGAGACACGCGGTGCCTGGGAAATGAAGGGCGATTAATGTTATCTTGTGTGTTTAGGTTTTGAAAGCACTGTCCAGCCAAGGCTGTGCTGGTCTGGGTTGGGCAGAGGCCTGGCCTCGAAGAGAGGCAAGTGCTCCGTTCACTGGTCAACAAAGGGGGAGAAATCTGCTTATAAAACATAGCCCTGGAGCCACTGGCTTGTGGGTGGCCACCAGGCAGGTTGCCCCTGTAGAAGGAGCATTGTCCTGGGAATCCCTCGGCCCCCAGGAGGGGCCAGAGGCGCAGGCAGTGGGGGAGGCTCTGCAGACACTAGGCCTCCCTGGTTGCCCTCATCCTGCTTCCCTTGGAGGTCCTTGAATGGAGAGTGCAGCCCCCCGAGCTGCCCACCCAGGGGCAGCGCCACCAAGACCCCTCTCCTCTGGTGCTGGGTGGAGCCGGGGGCCTTAGTCAGAACTGAGCATGGTCCACCTCATCCAGCCAGGAAGCAGGACTGGCAGGGAAGTCAGGGTAACCCCCGCTGCTCCCGGTGGACAGGTCAGAGCTGGGTCCGTTCCCTGCCAGCACCCTCATGGGCGGAGGGCCTCCTGGAGCTCCTGAGGGCACAAGGCCCAAGCTGGTATCTGGATACACCAAGCTGGAGAGGAGGGGCTGGGGGCCTGGGAGGCTCTGCGGGGCAGCGGGGGACGGGGGGATGCCATAGGGGCTGCTGGGGCGCAACTCTCGCAACTCTCGGTACTGCTCCGGGCCCGCCAGGCCTCCATGCTCCAGTGCAAAGCTGCCCAGGGCTCCTGAGGGCCGGCCCAAGGCAGGGGCGGGCTCTCCTAGGCTGCTGTACAGGCCATTGGCAGGGCCCATTTCAGCCATGGAGGGCTCATCTGCAATGGAAGCAGAGAGCCTGTCAGTCCTGTCCTTGAACCTTGGTTCCCCTCGGTGCCCATCCTGGCCCAGGCAGGGGACAATACAAGAAAGAAGGAAGTGCAGAGAACGAAGAAGTCAGGTCCTGCAGAAAAGGACTGAACTTATCCCCAACTCCAGAAAGCCTGGGCTTTTTATCACCCTGAAAATGTGTTGCTTATTCTAAAAATCATGGCAGGGGCTGGGACCTCCCCACCATGAGACAAGTGTCTGGCAGAAGCCCAGCTTAGGGACCAGTCAGGGAACAGGGGCTCTGACCCAGCAGAGAAGAGCAGTGTTCCTGAGTGACCAACCAACAAGGCTTGGAATGCAGGGCCAAGGTCTAAACCAAGTCAGTTTGGAAAGTAAGGCTGGATGCAGAACCAGGAAATTCACATCTCCAGGCTCCCTGCAACCAATGGAACCAAAGTTGTTGCTCAAGCTCCCAGCGACCCATTAGCAAGTACCAGTCTGCAAGGGCATGCAGTGTCTACCCAGGCCTACCGGTGAAGGAGACCTCGGCGTCGCTGTCCTGCCCCTCCTGGATGCTGTCCTTGTCCGACTTGGAGCTGCCGCGGGAGCGCTTCATGTTGCGGAAATACTGGCCCCAGCGCTGCCGGCCTGCGTCCTTTTTCAGCCTCTTTTCCTTGGCCCGGCGGTTCTGGAACCAAACCTGGGGGATGGGGTGGTGAGTGGCCGTGGGGCGGCGGCGCTTTCAGTCTCTCCCCCGCCACCCCACTTCCCTGCTTTAGGAAGCAGCTCCCAAGTCGCAGCGCGGGGCTGCGGAGTGAGCGCTTGCGGGGTGGGTCTTCCTGCTCTCGGGGAGCCAGGGGACACGGGTCGCTTGGAAGCGCTGACCTGCACGACACGCATGTCCAGGCCGGTCTCGGAGGAGAGCTGCTCGCGCACGTGGCGCGCGGGCTTGGGAGAGGTGTTGTAGGCGCTCTTCAGCGTCTCCAGCTGCTTGGCGGTGATGGTTGTGCGCGGCCGCTTGGCGGTGGCCTCGGCCTCTGCGGAGCGAGTGGTGAAGCCGGTGGGCCCCCTCTGGCCGCCCCCGCCGCGCCCACCCCTGGCCGCCCAGACGTCACCAGAGGCCCCTGCTGGCAGGCCCAATCGCGGTAGCCCCGGGGACCCGACGGATTTCACGGACCTGGCGGGTGCCCAAGAGAGGGGATTACCGGTAGAGGGGGCTTCTGTGCCTAGTGGGCTCTTGATCCGGAACCCTCCGCCCGCTGCTACCACACCCAGCAGCCTGGGAGGAGCCCAGTGGTCTCGTTCCCCTTTATTCTGAGTGTGGATAAGGCCAGGTCTTTATGGTCAAGGTGACCAAATGCAGACCAGGAATGATAGTTCACGTAACTCAGGTAACCTCCCTGCCCGCTAGAACGCAGAAGTCGCTAAACCCCAGGCCGGGAACAGCCAGCGGCGCCGTTAATTACCCCGGCCTCTCTCTTGGGCGTGCGGGTCATGGCGCCCTTACCTCCCCAGTCCCAAACCGCCTCAATAGAGAGCCCTGGGGGAAGTCGCTGGAGGTGAGGATTTCCCCCAAGGCCCACCCCAGGGATTGGTAAGAAGGTGGGACTTGCGCCCTGACGGCGCCAGCCAGGTGACCACCCTCCAGTCCCACTGACCTCGCTGCTTGGCTGTCTCGTAGTCCGCCTTGCACACCAGCCGGCTGTCTTCCATGAGGTAGAACTCGTCGCCTGTGGCCAGCTGCCGCTTGCACACCACGCAGGCGAAGCAGTGCAGGTGGTATACGAAGTCCTGGGCGCGGCGCACCACCTGCGTGGGCGGGATGCCCAGCTGGCACGCGGCGCACTTGGTCCCGAATCGCCTGCGGGGCACATAGGGCGCGGCTCAGCTCAGCGGTAGCACCGCAGGCGCCTTCGCTGGGAGCGGGTTGGGTGTGAGAGCCAGCTAGAGCTGTGCCGACTGTCCTGGGCTTGGGTGTAGGAGGTAAGCTCCTGGCCCAGTGCCTCGGTCAGGCCAGCAACCTGGGTGGGCCACATGTACTGATGAGCAGGGGACCCCGACTTCCTCTGGAGGACCTCCAGGAGGAGAATCTGCTCTCCCGCTGGATGGGGAAGATTAATTTGGAGGGTCAGGACTCCAAGTGGGGCAGTTCCCTCAGACCCCAGAGGCCTAAGCTACCCCCCCCCAATTAGGAACAAGACAAGCACAATTTAAAAGGGACTATAACAGTTCTACCAAATTATCTATATCTACATCAATCATTTATCCAAACACTGGGGGTTGAACCCAAAGGGGTGCTCTACCACTGAGCTACACCCCCAGCCCTTTTATATATTTTTTTCTTTTGAGACAGTGTTGCCTACAACGAGGAACCCCTGCTCAGCCTCCCAGTAGCTGGGATTACAGGTGTGGGCCACTGTTCTTGGCTGTGTTTATCTTTTTAAACAACGGCTTCCATGATTCACAAAATGAGTTATTTGTGGGGGTTACTGGGGATTGAACCCAGGGCTTTGCACATGCTAGGCAAATGGTCTACACCACGATACATCCTCGGCTCTCTTAATTTTTTAATTATTACTAATTTTGAAACAGGATCCCACTAAGTTGCCCAGGCTAACCTCAAACTTGCAATTCTCCTGCCTCAGCCTCCTGAGTAGCTGGGAATACAGGTGTGTGCCACCACACCTGGCTAAAATAAATTACTCAAAAAAATATTTCCTGATGTCTCATCCAGGCCAAGCCACCCAGGGAGCACCCGCTAGAACTTGGCAGGTTCCCAGGTATTCTGCCTGTAGTGACCGGAGGGGGCTGGGAGGCACCTGGAGATGCAGGCTGTGGGGTGGGAGACTTGGTTAGAGTTGAGGGTGGTGGGTCCCAGTGTGGCCACACTCCTGTGGGGGCAGGTTGTGGGTGCCCTCCCCTCGCCTCCCACAGGCAGTAGCGCTCACTTGAAGAAGTCGTCCTTGCAGTAGACACTGTCCCCCCGACTAAAGCAGCGCTCGGCCAGCGGTGTGTGACAGTCACTGCACTTGAGGCACTTGCTGTGCCAGTGTCGGTCCAGAGCCTTCAGGATGAAGCGATCCAGGATGTGCTGGTCACAGCCGGCACACAGGGGTATCTCTGTAGGCAGGGGAATGGCCCAGGTCACTGGCACCTCGCAGACCACAAGCCTCTTCACCAGTTGGAGTCAGCCTCCCACTGGTCCCCAAGACCCCGACGCTGCCTAGGGACCCCCTTCTCTGCACACCATTGCCCTGCTAGCTTAAGCAGTTGTTTGGTCCCCCAAGTGCAGGGACCCAACAGGCACCTCATCCCACAGCCTGACAGCAGCCAAAGAAATAGAAGTAAGCTTAGAAACCTGTCTGGGAGCAGGGTGGCCAAGCCACCCAGTGAGGTCGAGTACTGTCAATTTACAAGATATTCAAGAAGCATGCATGTTGAGTTCAAATGAAAACCACCGTACCCCACGGCACTAGGTTCCATCTTTGGCACCACATAAGAATAAATAAAGTTATGTCTATTACAAATACACACACACACACACACACACAAACATACTCCAGGGGGATCTGCTCTAGAAAGTAGGGCAGAAAATGGGAAAACTAGTCCTACTAATCCTGGAGGTGGGCACACATGGGACGCAGGTCCTGGGACACATCCGGGCATGGGGTACATCCATCTGAGCATTTCCATTACCTTACACAATAAGCATCATGACCTCAGGCTCTAGAGACCCCAAGCCTGTGTGGCTGCCCAGCCTCAGGTCCCCTGTTAGTCTCTGAGCCCTTCTCCTCTTTGGGCAGTCTCAGGAGTATTTGTGAGTAGATTGGCTAAGTGATCTGCTGCCCACAGGCTCAGGTGTGGTGGCAGAGTACCCAATGGGTGGCTGACTGTCCCCACCCAGTGCTCGCCAATGCCATCCCCAGGAGCATGGGGCCTCTAGGGCAATCAGGCTGGGGTGGGGTCCGAGGGTGCCCTTCAAGAGCTGTGAGCCCAGGAGGAGTTATGAGGGGCTCTTCTTGGTGTTTGTGAGATGAGGACTTCTGGTAATTTAGAAAGGACAGCCATGAGAGTGGGGAGCGGCCAGCAGGAGCTGGCACCTACTCGGATGTGACCCACCTCACCAGCTCCCTGTCTATGGACAGGGCAGGGAGCAGGAGGGCCCCAGTGGCAGGGGAGCAACGTGGGAAGAGGACATCGCAAGGAGGTTCGCTCGACCTCCCTCCCGCATTGGCGGGAAACCCGCGACAGACGGTCGGACCGCGTCCGGCGTCCCGCGTCTTGCAAAACCGCTGCCCTGGTCACCGAGCGGCAACGGCAGCCGCGAGGCCTGGGTCCTCACCGCCAGCAGTGAGCCTCAGGGAGCCGAGGACATCGGCTCCGCGCAGCACGATTCAGCACCGCGGTCCGGACAGCGCCTCGTCCAAGCAGCCGCAAGAGCCCGCGTGGGACAAAAGCCAAACCCACATCCCCGCGCCCCGGCTAAGCCCCAGTGGAGCCCCCGCGGAGCCCCCGCGACCTCGGCTTACGCTGCATGGCGACTCCGGCCCCGGCACGGTCTCCACCCCTGAGGCTGGCGGTCCCGGAGCCTCGGCGCCCGTCCCAGTGCTGTCTCGGCCAGCGCTCCCTGGCCTCGCGCGCCCAGCCTTCCCGCCTCCTCTCCCTGCGCCTCCCACTCTTCTCCAGGCTCTTCGGCCAACCCCTCCCGGGAACCGTCGGAAAATAAATGAATGAGTAGGGGATGGAGCGACCTCGCAGCCTGGACGTAGCCCCCTTGGCCCGCTCCGTTCCTCCCACTCCCCCTCCCCAGCCTTCCCCACCCAGAGCTCTCTCGTCGGCCCGGAGCGCAGAGAGCAGCCTGGCTCCGAGAGCCTCAGCGCCGGGAGGGGACGGGGCCCCAGAGAAGCCGGGCTTTTCCTTGCAGAGGGTCCTGCCAAACCGGGCGGGCGGCTGAAGAGACCCAGATTAGAGAAATTACACCGTTCAGCTCGACCCTGGCTCTTGCCTGATTGCGCTCCCCTGGAAAGTCGGGTCTGCGCAAGGGTGGCCCTCTGGGGGACCCTCCTGCTCCGTGGTCACTGGGCGGGTAACAGCCCCTACACCGCTTACACTTCAGGGGCGGCTAAGGACTGCCAAGAGCCCTCTTAGCCATTCCTGGACACCCGAGGGTACCCTGGACCGAGGACCACATGCCCGACAACAGCGCCAGGGGCCCTTCACAGACCGCCATCGTGATGCACTGGCTTGGTTGTGCCGGGGCCCTCGCACCCGCTCCGGCCCAGGTCCTTTGGCCTCCGTGGCCAAGAGGGGAAAAGCCCGAAGACCTCCTGGTCTCCCTGATGCTGCCGCTCGACTGGGCACCCACCTCGGCGCAGGTCAGCCCTCCGCGCGAGCAGCGCCAACAGCAGGTCGCCCCCCGCCGATTCCCGGGCCGGGTCCAGCTCCCCGCGAGCCTCCATGGCGCCCGCCGCCCGGCACCTCCGCTTTCTGACCCCGAACTTCCCCGGGGTCCGGGGAGGCCTCGGACGCAGTGGCCCCTAGCCGGCGTCCGAGCGACTCGCCGCGTTGCTGGGCGCTGCGCCGGCGGGCCGCCCCGGGGCCCCGAGCCTCGGGCGGTGCGGAGGGCGGAGCGGCCGGGGGGCGGGGCCGCGCCGCGGGGCGGGGCCGGGGGTCCCGGAGACTCGCCCCGGGCGATCGCCGGCTCTGTGCGCCTGGCCCCGTACCTACGGAGCCTTCGCACCGCTCTGCGTTCTTGTCCCTAGAGCCGGGACGGCCGGGGAGGACCCGAGTCAAGGCTGCCCGCAGGCGCTCGCCCCTGCCTCGCAGCTGGACTCACTTCAGCGCTGGAAGGGCTGGGGGTTCTGGGAGAAGTTGGCAGGGAGGCAGCTAGGTTCTCCTGATGCTGAATCTGAGCTGGGAGCCTTCGCGACAATGTCTGGTCCGCGGAAGCGCAACCGAAACCCAGAGAAGGTGAGCGTGGCCGCCAAAGGCCTCACAGTAAGAAGCTAGCCGCGACCCCAGACCTTCTACGCCCATCCCTGCAATTTCCCACTGGCGTGGGCACTGGAAGGAAGGCGATTCTTAGGAGAGAAGCAGGCCCCTGTCCTCCGCCTGGAAACCCATCCGAGACCCTGGTTTAGGAGGGACTGAGCTGGAAAAGGTACAGGATGTCCCCTCGCTCCTCTGCCCCCAGCACTCTGGCTACCAAAGAACAGTCCCTGCACCCGATTTTCCAGCATCCTGCTCCCAATGCAAACAGGTGAGCCAACTGGAACCCATGTATCCTTTGGTGTACATCCCTTCCTCTGCTCAGAGGGCCCACAGTCCTGGGTCATCGACCAGGATCTTAGCCCTGTACGGTCACTCAGAGACAGAATACAGCATGGGGCCCTGGCAGGCAGCAGGATCCTGGATGGAAGCGCTGGGGAAGCAGTAGGTTGAACTAGTGGGTTGAACCTCCAGGTCCCTCTACCGGGGGTCAGATGGTGATACCCTCTCCACTCAGTCTTCTGAATTGCGAGCTCTAAGGGCACAGGACTGGAAGATGGGCATAAAAGAGCACAGCCCCTCGGTCCTAGCTCCAGCACACAGCATGCCTGGTTGTGAGCACAGGCTCACGGGCCACCTCTCTCTTGCTTTGTACTACACCTGTTACTCCAGAAGGGTCAGCGCACACACACTTGTGTGGAGCCGAGTGGGTGTCTGGTGCACTGGGGTGAGGTCCGTTGAGTGTCAGCTGCTGCAGAGGCGGTCTGGCAAGGGCCATTTGTGACAGGACTGGGGAAGGGAAGGCCCCTTCTGCTGGGCATCTGGCCGGCCCCACCAACAATGCCTCCATTATTTCCAACGTCTGTGGCATTGGAATGGCCCTTGGAGAGGACGGTTGGGGTGGGACACCAGGACTGGGGTCCCCTACTGCAAGCCAGGGCTAAGAAGGGAAGTGAAGGGCTTCATTCTCTGGGGGGACCTGGTGCCCCTCACTCTGTTCCATCACAGGCACCATTTGCAGGTCAAGCACCAGGCTCCCCGGGCCACCCTCGGCTTCCCTCCCAATCTGCTGCCATTTCAAAGTGCCTCCCCGGTCTCCCTGGACTTTCCCTGCAGCCCTCCCTGCTGCACCCGTGGCCCGGCCCCTCCACCCGCCTCGGCCGCCCTAGTTGCTTCTCTCTCCGCAGCTCTTACCCTGCGTCCCGACAAAGGTGCAGAGGGCAGCAGCCGCCGGAACCCCTGGCCTTTCTCGGTCGCCTTCGAACTCCGCTTCCAGCAGCATCGCGGTAACGGGTCGGGTCTGAGTGGGCGTAGACGGAGGGCTGGAGCTCCGCAGAACCTGGAGCGTCGCGGGGCAGACTCCAGCACTGGGCCGGCGCTGTCCGCGGTGCTGAAGGAGGCATCCGCGCGCCCCCAGCCCTTTTGGCGCCTGTCCCCCGCCCATCCCCTGTCCCCGCCTCCGGCCCCCGCCCAGTCCGGCGCACGTCCCTAGCACGCTGGGTTTGGCGGGACTGGACCCGGTCCCGGCGGCCATCACCTTGGGCAGCCATGCCGGTTGGCTCCGCCCCGGCCGGGAGGCTCCTCTTTCGCAGCAAGCGGGTTGAGGTGCCGCCGGGCTGGAAACCTCTGAACCCTGCCCGCTGGACCCTCAACAACCTTCTGGAGAGCAGGGAGCACCCAGGTTGCGGGGGACTGGACCTGGGGCGGAGGCTCTCTCCTGCAGACGTCAGAGGACTATTCACTGCTGCTGCTGCCGCCCTCAAGGTACTGTCCCTTGCACCCAACACCCTTCTGGCCACTGCAGGATCACAGACAGAAACTTCCAACTCCAGACTGTGAGCTCCGAGACCAGGTACGGGAGCCCTGAAGGCATTCCCGGTGGAGAGGTCTGCTCAGCACACACTGCCCGAGGCCGGCAAGGCAGGGGCTGCCCAGGTCTCTCCGTGGGAGGGTCCTGGGAGAAGCTAGCCATGGGCAACCTGCGCGTCTCCTGCTTCACACTGAATTGAGTGTGTGTGGGGTGGCTATGGGGTGGGCTGGGTCCCCCAGGGGCTTCCGTAAGCAGGAGTGCCTGGGGAACACGCTGAAATAGTGTCATCTGTATGTGTCTCAGGGTGCTGCTCTTAGCTGCTGCATCTGGTTCTGCTCTAAGCAGGTCATCTAAACTCCACTTTGCAGCTGACTTTTCCATCTGACTCCCGGCTCTCTTCCAAAAAGTGTCTTTGACTCAATACAAGCAATCCTAGAAATCCAGAGTGGAGTCCATAGGAGTGTAGATAGGAGCCCAGCTCCATTCTGTTCCCATTCCAGAATCTCACATTTCAAAAGAACTGTCACGGTTTCTCAAATGTCAGATTTCTTTACTCTTAAAATGTGCACATTATAATTTTTACTTAAATACAAAATGTCCACTTCCCTTGCAGGTAAGAAATTTCACTGACATTTCCATGTCAAATGGCTCCTTTTTAAACAAAATCTTTCCATTAAAAATAAATAAACATTTAAATTACGGAACTGTTATATTCATTAGTCTCAATACCTCTTAAAATATTAAACCTTATAAAACCACCTCACACCTTGTGGCATCCTCAGAGCTGGCACCCAGGGGTGGGGCTGTTCTTTCCCTCCTCCAGGACACCCTGCGGGGCGCCTCAGTGACAAGTGTGTCCCCAGACATTGGTGGCCTTGCCCTGTAATAGGAGGGAAGCTGGAAACAAGCCCTGCCTAAAGCAGCTCTGCCAAGGCCAGACAAGCAGCGCACACTCCACATTCCCGGGGAGATGCCTCGCACCCCCCGCTGGAGCTGTGGGTAGACCTGCCTGGTTTTCAAACAAAGAGATATGACGTCTTCAATAACCAGGTACACACCAGCTGTGGAGGCAAGCTCCCGGCCTTTTAAAGCAGAGGATTCTAGGGGCTAAAAAGCATCATGAAGAAACCTCACGGCAGAGAAGTGGAGCAGGAGATGGAAGCTGCCAACAGCCCCCCCCCCCCCCCCCCCGTCCTGCTGGCCTCAGGCAGCTGCCTGCGGCTCCCCTACCCATCCTCTGGTCATCCCAGCACTCCAGGGCTGGACTAGCCACAGCCCAGGGAGGCAGCTGTCCATTTCCCTTAAGTGGCAGCAGTGACAGCAAGGTCAGACACACTTGAGCATCAAATACAAAACAGCAAAGTAGAAAAGGTATTTACAGGCATCTGGGTCACGCACGTGCACAGAGATGGGCACATCAGAGCATGAGTCCACCATATCCAATGAAAGCTTGTGGAACAAACCAATGGCCAGGGACTCTCTATGAACGTCCCAAAGCATGTATCAGTTTGCTCCCTTTAAGTCTTCAGAGGCTGATTCACCACTAAGTGTTTTGGGTTTAATAATGTGTTTAAATTGCTAAATGGTTAAAAAAAAAAAAAATCATTCCTGAGGCCTGGGAGACCAGTGCCCCTAGGAACCTTGTCCACAGCTTCAGGTCAGGGAGGCCTGTCCTACAGGGCTCATGGCCAGGGGCCTCTGCCTTCCTCACTGGGCCTGTCCCTGGCCTCTGTGGTGCCTCATGTGGGGCTGGAAAAGGACCAGAGTAGACAAAGGGCTCCTACAGAGGTCATCCGAAGACCATGCCCCCAAGAGCAGACCGGTCCTCCATACCCCTCCTGTAGACCTAGTCTTCAAACCCACCACTGGGCCCAGAGCGCCCCCAGGACAGCCAGATTGGGATGACCCTCACTTACATCTCTTTATCATCAGAAATGCCAACCAACAAAAAGGCACTGCCACCACCCTGTCCCTCCCAAGCCCCAGGCTTACTCCCCAGGACCCTGAGTCATTTCTGAGATACAGCTCTCCCCTGGCCGGGTTCCTTGAGTCTCCACATCTGAATGGATCGCCCTGCAGGGCAAAGGACTGACCAGACCCTTCCTTCTCTGCTCCCGAGTTCCCTGAGCTCCCACACAACTGTTCTTTTGCTTAAGTGGGGACAATCAGGTGGCCAAAAAGGAGATCCCACATCACTGGAGCACCACGTCTACTCTGAGGGCTGCAGGGCAGGGCACACTGTGTGGGGAAGGCTCCTCCAGCGAGGCTTCTGCCAACACAGAAGCAAGGCCCTGTAGAGCTGTCGCCTGCGATCACTGCGGGGCACAGGACAGCTGGGGCTGCTCCTCTTGTTCCTTGACCTCAATGAGGTCACCAAGTCTTCCTGCAACAAGGGCTGCGGGAGGCATGGACAGGGTTCAGACGTGAGCACGCCCACAAGACTACCCAGTCTCCACAGGCCTGTGAGGGGACCAGGTCTTGAGCCCCTGATCATGAACAAGAAAGCTGCAGGTGGCACAGGGGGCAGGGCTTCCAAGGGCTTCCCGCGTGTTGCCAGCACTGCCTCGGGAGCACTCTACACAGCTGGGTGGTGAAGCCGGACTTTCCATCGCTTGGACCTCACTCTGAAGAAGAAGTACATCACCATCAGGAACAGAGAGGAGGCCACATACAACAGCACGCAGAGGCTCATGTCCAGGCTGGAGAAGCCAACCCCAAGAAAGGGTGCGGCGGCCTCAGCCTCTTGGAGGGCCCCAGGCCCACGGGGACTCTGGAGTCTCAGGTCCAGCCTGTGCTGCACATCCTGGGGAAGGTCAGCTCTGGGGCCCAGCATGCCAGGCGGACGAAGACTCTCGGCATCTTGGTCTCTGCGGAACTTCTCTGGGGGAGTCAGTGCTTGGCCCTCCACCTCGCCCCTGCCCAGGGCTCTTCCCTCACTGGACTCTCCCTGGTCTGCAGAGTACGTGTCTACGAGGTTGCTGCTGCTATAGTACTGCTTCAGGAACACCAGCACCTGGCCCTCGTTCCAGCTGTCCAGGCCCTTAATTTCCTCGTGGCAGGCTGGGCAGAGGTCTGGGGTAGGCCATGGGACCTTTGGAAACTTGGGATCCTCACTCAGGTGGCCTAGGAGAAAAGGAAGGGGAGAATCACTGCAGACAGGCCTTGGCCATGGGATGCTGGGCCTGTGCAGGTGGCAGGCCACAGGGCTCTGCTGCCCCCTCGGTCCTCCTAGGCAGGCAGCAGCTCTTGCTCCCTCTGGTGGGCCCCACGCCTGCACACCAAGGAAGAACCCTGCACACCTGGCCCACCTGCCGTTGCCTGACCAAGCCCTGAGGCAATCCACCAGCTCTGCTCTGCCAGAAGGACCCAAAGGCCCCACCTCCTACCTTCCAGGAGGCCCAAGAGGCCCAACACCCCACCGAACACCGCCCACTCCGGCTGCCAGGGGTACTGCCCACCTCGTGGTCCTTTGAGAGACAGGTCCTGGGAGACCGCTTTTCTATACATGGCAGGACGCCACACAGCATCCTCCTCTACTGTGGTGCTGCTCAGCTGCGACTGGCTTCCTGCTCCCGAACACAAACCTACCCCACGCGGGGTCTCCTGCCACAGCCCCACTGTTCATTCCATCACACTTCCCAGTGAACAGCCACGCAAGCACCTCTGCCACGGACGTCCACATACAGCTTTGCACACTTGCTTGAGCACTTCCTTCTGAGTGTGGATGTGGCTGCTCAGCTGCCCTCAGAAAGGCTCTCCACCCTCTCCCAGCAGCCTTGCCTGAGGCCTGACTCCTGCCCTCCCCTGGGATTTCTCCCTTCTTCATTCCTCTGATCGAAGGCCTGACAAAGGGCCACAGGGAGGCCAGCAGGGGACTCAGCAACACCTGCCTGTGTGACCTGAGATCAGGGATGCCCTGCACTCAGGTGTGAGCTAGGGTTCCCCTGGTAATGTGCAGGGTCCAGCCCAGCTCCCTCTGCAGAACCAACAAAGCTCCCAGACAAGCCTCCGTGGTGCTGATGACACCTATCCTGCTTGCTGTGTGCCATATGCTGGACACAGAGCCAGGAGAGGACAAGGCAAAGGCTAGTCTGCACACCCTAGGAGAGGCCACCTAGTGGGACTTGAGGGTGGTCATGCACAGAGATACACCAAGTGCTGCAGAGTCAGAGCTGATGCTGGACAGGAGACTAGGCCAGACCCCTGAGGGCCTCTCAGGCTGGAAGGGGGACAGGGAGCAATGCGTGGAGCCTCAGGAGTGGCCCCACCACATAGGCCAAGGGACCCCCACCGCAGCTGGCTGATGGGAACAGGCTGACAGCAGGGCTCCTGAACAGGGCAGCTCCAATTGGCATCTTGCTCCGGACGCCTCAGAGCCGAACGCCCAGATGACCAGAGACCTCTATGGGGAGGAGGGAGAGGCCCAAGAGGCGCTGGGTGTGGAGAGAGCCCCCTGTGGCCTTCGAGGCTCACCTCGAGGCACAGCTGACAGGGAGGGAGCAAATCCCAGGGACGCAAAGGCGCCCGCAGCCCTCAGTGCAAAGAAGAACCAATTTTCTTTAGTGCTCCAGTTGTAACGTGTTTTTA